ATAACTACAATATTTTATATAGGAGTATTCTAATAACAATTTTTAATATACTTATTTTTTATTCTCAGTAAAAATGTATAATAATATCTAAGGTATTATAATATCTAGCAAATATTTTAAAAATGAATGGGCCTTAATTCAAATAAAAGCTGACGTAACATTGCCACACAGATATATTTACAAAAGTTGGAAAGCGAAAAACAAATTTAGATACGAAATAAAATACAGAGCAGGTAAAGGTGACGACAGCACGAGAGGGAAGGGTGGGGGTCTTCGTTAAGGTTTAATTAAATCGTCCTCCGCGGCCTCTCGCGTTTTAATTCCACCGTTATTAATGCTGTTAAAAACTGAGTAGCTAGAACAAAGAAGTACTTAGAGCTACCTACGTTTAATGTTTTTTTATGTAATATTAAGCAGTATTGATTAACGTATGCATTATAGAACATGCTAAAGATATCCGTAAAATTAGGTACTTGTAATACCTAAATGGATCTATGATACATATGATGATACAGTGAAAAAAAACATAAACAATATATTAAATAACACAAGTGAACCTAATGACAAGAAAGCAGTGAAAAGGTTATGATTATTAATACAGATATATGCTGATACTAAGGCTTCTGTTAAACAAGAATTATTTTATTTCCTGGTAGACACATATATTTGTGTTATTCGAATTGTTATTCCAATCTATAATCACACACTACCGTATTACCTAGTACCACTCGTATCTATAAATACATACATAGAAATTATATACATATTAATACATAAGTACTATAATTAATGTTATAATGTATAATTACAATATCTAATAAAATAAGAGTTAAATATTTCATTAATTATATTATTATTATATACCCCCGTCCAATTCAAACGGGAATCGAAATTACGGCCTGAGGCAAATTTCGACTAAAGTCCTATCAGTTAGGCAAGAGTTGGCCGCTTCTTAACTTCTTCCTTTGCGTTGAAGAGTCATATGCACTCGCCCCCTACAGTCCGGTGAAGCTGTAAAGGCCTGCTGGGAACAGGAGCATATGATTATTCTAAAAAAAAAATCATGGTAAGGACACTCATGGGTTTCGCTGTTTCAAATACGCGGACGAGTGGCCGCAGCGTTTCCGCAGAGGACTCGCGATAAGGCGCTGCTCGCCGCCTTAACTCCCTCCACCGCACCTGTACCACCCGACAGCACTCGCGGAATCGCCAAACAGTTTGGATTTTAATATAACACTTAAGTGTTGTTCCAAAGATGTCCCTCCTCGGCTAAGTACTAATTTGTCGCAGCTCGAAACGATTGAGACATTTTAACGTTTGCGTAAAGTCTCATTGAGTTGTTTTAATTTGTATATATTTGCTGTGTATCTTGTAATTAGCAGTTTGCACACTTTTTTATTAGAGAAATTTTCTCTATTCGTTTTAATTGAAAAATAAACATTGCAGAACGTTAAATAGGCATTAATAAGATTCCGTTAATATGAGTACTATACGGTGGACTATCTCACAGTTCCGATTAAGTTTTCGTAGGTATAACTTACAACTTGTATTTGCATCTTGCAAATAGTGCATATAAAAAACAAACTAATCAATTTCAATTGTAATCTGTTACATTATTATGCAATATTATCTTATATGTGGCATTATTAATAAATGAGTTTATTACACCTTTATGAAGGAGGACTACAGACCGAAGGGGGTGGTGTTTTGGCGCTACCGTGGCAGATTGACGTCATCAGTGCCAATATCATATACCACATAGGCAATTTTATATTAGTATTCAAAATTCGAAAATAATTTATTCATGTAGGACATATTAGCCGTTTATGAACGTCAAATTTTTGGTATTACAATTTTTTTCCCTACCATCCAGTTCAGTATACAGATTCAATTGAGAAGAACTGGCAAAGGAGTCGTAATTTTTTTTTAAACACCAGATTCTTTGTTTACTTATGTAGGTGCTTTCCAACATAAAATGAAAATCCAATGTATGAACAACTATTGTCATACACGCTCGTCGTTCAAGTAATCGTTTAGTGAGTAAGGTTTTGCTCAACAAATGTGATTTAACATGTTTTGATATTATTTATGGTTAATTCCATTATCGAATACATAAAGATATATATTTATTTGTAAGATACCAAAAGGAAATACATGCGAACAGCAAGTTTGTCTTTAAATGTAGTATTTATATTATGAATTCATATGTATGATAGTCTAAAATTTATTTATAATGTGGGTCACTAGTAACCTAAAATAAATAAATAATAAAATTATATAGTTACGTAAAGCAGTGGGTGGAAATTTGGACAATAAATACTAGGTAGATATATATGTGAAATAATAGAAGCAAGCATAACGATTGTGGGCGTCAGATGCACAATAACCGCAACTAAATTGCACAGGCCGTGCAGTCTGTCTGCCGTGCTCACCTGTCTGATGTTCCGTACATCCAAAATTATTAAATAAATGTTAACAACGCAACACAACTCAACATTTTGTAGTGTTACATGTATAAAACTGAAAGTTGCGGCCTACTTTTGTTTGGTTTAGCAAATTGTCCGTAGATTTAAACATATGTATTTCGTTTTTTTTTTATACTACGCTGAACGCTTGAAACACCAGGGGTATCACCTGCGCGTTGCCGACCCTTAAGAAACCTTAATATACCCTTCTTGAAAAACCCCATGCTGTAGTCTCGTGGGAAAACCTCGGAAGTACATTGTACATGAAAATTCGTATTCAGGTTTCTACAGGACAGATTCAGCCTATTTTAGGAATCAATATTATTGTTTCACACTGTTTTATTTCCGATGTTCGTTGGTTCGATTCCTCATACGGTGTAAACATTTGTATTCATGAGTATGATTGTTTGTATCGGTCAGGGTATTTTATATGTATAATATGTATGTATTTGTTTGTTATCTAGTACCATAACATTGGGTCTAAATTCTGCTGTGGGAATTGCCCTAAAATTATTATTTTTATTATATAATTTATTATATTATTTTCTAGTTGTTTTCAATCTTCGACGAGTTGGTAATAACGTCAAATTGTCACACAAAGGTCGGACAATCATCGTCCGTTGTATTCTCTATTAATTTAACCTTCAGAACACATTGTATTGTAACTTCTTACTTTGAACTTAAGGATGATCGTGATAACTCTAAATTACACATCCATATCACCTATATACATAAACATTAAATACATAATGTATGTATTAATATAATATTACATTCTTACGTTATTTGTTGATTGGTATACTTATAGATAAACCTAAGTACCTACTAGAATTTTGTTACATCCCTTTAAAAAATATTTTAAAAGGTTGTAACAAAAGTCTAGTTTGTTTTCATTATTGATTTAAATTCCAAGCTTAATAGGAATATTATAGGATTATTATTATTGATTTTTTATCGAAACAGTTTTCCGCAACAAATTTACAATTTGTCTTTTACAAGTTACAGAAAAATCTACATAGTTACTGGTGAGCTAATTAATTCTTATCAATGATATTAGAATTTAGGGACGAACTTTTTTAAAACCGTTTTAAATTTATATATTTCTTGTCAATTTTGTACATTCTGGTGAAAAGGATTTAGGCGGGAAAAACGTATGGAATGGAGCATCTTAAATCTAAAATTTTAAATATTTGCCTTTTTTTATTTCTCCATCTTTATTTTCAACGAAGTATTTTCAAATTCATATATTTTGTGTTAGCTTCTTTCTTATGGTGTGAAATATTGAATTATAAACGTTAATTCTCTGTTTAAATTCTGACAATTCCACATTGTCTCTCATATTGGGCAAACTTTCAAATCGAATCATTACTTCGGCACCCTACTAAAGCAGAGTGGTGGTTGGGGCGAAACCATTTAGGTACCCCGGCTTCACTTGCGGGGATAACAGCCACCGAGTGCTTTAGATCTCCTTAAAATAGACCCAACTAAACTCACAAACATATAGAATAAAATAATACTAAAATTAAGCAAGTTTAAGATGTAGTATTATATTCCAAAGATATTAATTTTTTTGTTGTTTCTTCATATATTTCGACTGAAAGATTTAACTATCACTATCATCTAGTTCTACATATGTTGGCTTTGGTTTGCCTTTCTTATTGTAATGTTGCTTATATTATACTTCGATATTGTAATTAAGCCTATATGTGTGTATTAAGATACAAATAAAAATTCTTATCTATCTAAATTTTAATATGAATTTACGTTCTGATATTTTGATCTGAATATTGCATTCCATTTTGCTGCTAAAACTTGTGCCCTTTTTGAAGGTGATATAGCTGCATCGTCTGGTAATTCTATATACAAATACTATTTCTAGGCCAATACAAAAATTGTTGCAAAAGTGCAAAAGACTTCATGGTACAACCAGTAGTGCATTGTATATAGTGTAGCTCTAAAGCAAACAGAATAACCACTAGATTATCGACTCATAATAGAAATGCAACGAAAATTCAGTTATAATTTTGTAGAAGAAAATTGGGGGTTCCGTAAAATCAAATAAACAGGATGAGGACATTTAAAGATGAATGAATATATTTCAAACACCAATTTTATATATGCTACTATATAGAAAAATATATAAGTAAAAGCATAAAATGTAACTTAAATCTTTACAATATATTGCGTGGAATGGAACATTCTTAATTTATTAGGAGTGTAATTGTAAATAGTATCTCCGTGTTTATATACTTAAATAAAACAAATTACCTAATAATTATATGATTCAACAAATTTAAATAGCGTACACAAATGTTATAAATACAGAATTGTTTATATTAAAGCGAATACAAATGAAAACATAATTTCTGTCTGATTTGCAAATTGTAGTGAACATCGTACAGAACTCGTGTGTGTGAATATCCGAACACTTATTTTAATCTGTTATACAGATATCAAGTATTATCTGTGATGAAGTCAACAAATGTCAAGTGAATTTAATTTAGAATGTCAAAATTGCGTGTTTGATGTAATACTTGCATATTGAATAAGCGGCATGCCCATGCATGATGCAAAATATTCTAATAATCGTCTTCATTAAATCAGGACATGCGATCAACCGTGACAAATGGAACTCTACCCGTTTAAATGCACAAACCGACCATTGGAAGTGATGTGATTGCTCGTGCAAATGCTACTTGTACAACAAAAGCATTTTCATGAACTATCTTCTAACTATCTAACGTAGGACAATGGCTGGTACCACTCTGCCAGAAAGAGTGGCTCAGATATATTACACATACGGTTTATTTTGCTCGTCATATCCATTTATTGCGATTGCGTTAGCTCTGTCAGTCGTCTTGCTATGTTGGTAAGCACAAATGTCTTACATTAATGTGTATACATTAAAAATAGAATAGAATTCCTAAATTAAGATTAACTATTATAAATTATACCTTACAGCTACCCATTACTGAATGTCCCTTTGCCCGGGAACATACCAACAATAGTAAATTTGCCGTGGAATGTTGATGAAACAGAAGGATTGTCAAAAGCAGATTGCTCTTCTAATAGTTGTTTACAAGGTAACTTGCTTTTAAACTGTTGATACGGGATCTATTAAAGTAGTACTTAAATTACTGAAATGTACTTTCAAGTAATTGTGTAACTACTTGTGAATTTGAAAGTAGCCGTTTTTTGTTACTTTGCACATATTTAGAAATCCTGTCTATTTCAGATGCTCCGCTACAGTTGGATATTTTATTTAATGAAACCCAGAGATTACCTTATATTTGGGGAAAGGATAAACCACTGCTTTATGTACAACAGATTATTATGAAGATAGGTAATAAAATCATTACAAAAAAATATTATTATATTTCTATAACTCTCTATAGGAGGTGTAGGGATAAAATAGTACAATTATGATAATAGTGCGGCTTATTACTTGTAAATCATGATTGTTTCCAGTTGTGATTGTGATGAACCACTGCCTAAATATATGTATAAAATGAATGTATGTTGTCTATAGATTGACGCCTCGCAAAACCATGTCATATTTAAAAATGTAATTTGTCTTGAAAATAATAACACATTTTACTGATCATTTTGAGTATATGATAATTCTTAAAAAGAATTTAAGAAAAATAAAATTAGCTTCTATGAAAATTAGTATTTATATATTTATATGTTGTTTATGGTATTTGTAGATTATATATAGGTTATATTTCTAAAGAATTATTAAATAATATTTATAAATTAAATAAAAATTAGTGTTTAGTTATTTACTATAAATTTTTCATACCTTTAATTTAGGTTTAATATTAATAAATTTTTATAGGGGTGTCACCGTGGAACAATAATTTAAAGTTATGGGATGCATTTAGAGGTCCATTACAAGAAGTATTTCGTTTGCTCGAAACAATCAGGAACCATGAAGACCTAGAAACGTGAGTAAAACATATATAAATAAACAAAGCGAGATTATACAACAATAATCTTTATCAGAGTAACCTTTTGGGTTATAGGTTAAACTTACTATTATATTATGTTAAATGTTTCCTTCAATGTAATGGAATAATTATTTTCAAAACATTTTGAAGATCATAAACTATAATATAAATTATAGACAGAATGTGCAGAGACAAATGGGGTTTGTTTTTATTTTTAATTATGTGACGTCATGATAGGTTTAAACAAATTCTCAATTCCTCCAAAGTTTTATATAAATACTTATATATTTATTTATTTATATACATGAAATATAGATTACAGTCATGGTAAATTTTTTTATTTATATTACATGCTGTAATATTTTTGTTTTTTTTTTGCTGAGCTTTATTTTTGTTTGCTCAGTGTTTAATAGCTTATAGTTATCCAATAATGATTGGTTCCATATTTCAACAGTTTCCTGTTTATATATATATGTATATTTTGACAACCTGTGTAGTCTGGTGGTAGCATACCTCTTTACTATTTGATGGTCATGAGTTCGATTCTTTGCATGGGTCAACAATTTGTATTTATGAGTATGATTGTTTGTATTTTCTATGTATTTATAAAAAAATATCTATATATTCATATTAGTTGTCAAGTAACCATAACACAAGATCTGCTTAGCGTGTGTTAGTCGTATCTAACATAAATAACATTTTTTGTCTGTCTGTCTGTTTGTTCCGGCTAATCTCTGAAATGGCTGCACCGATTTTGACGAGACTTTTTTTGGCAGGTAACTGATGTAATAAGGAGTAACTTAGGCTACTTTCATTTTAGAAAAAATCTTTTATTTTAGACAAATAAAGTTATATTCCTCGCGGAGTAAGTCGCGTGTACAGCTAGTTATAAATATAATAATGATCTACTTTATTGACAAGTACCAGTAGAATATCAGTAGAATGTTGTCCATTCTGCACTGACTTTCTAAATAGGAAAACTTGTTTCTTGAAAGCCAGTTCCTTCCAACATACTATGTACATATATAGTGTACATTTGTAATCAGATATTGGTTGATACAGGAAATAATAAATATATATATATATTTGTTTATAAAATATAAAATGCACACTATTTTTCAGTAAAAATACTGAGCTATATCATTAGTCATTAATATTAAATTATCAATTTTTTTTATTATTTAATATAATAATAATCAACCCATCATTATCTTATTAGCTTCTAGCTGTACCCGCAACTTCGTCCGCGTGGAATTAACTTTATTTTACTAAAATAGAAGATTTTTTCTAAAATAAAAGTAGCCTAAGTTACTTCTTATTACATCAGCTACCTGCCAGAAAAAGCCCCGTCAAAATCGTTCAGAATTAGCCGGAAACTGAAAAATAGACAGACAGACAAAAATTGTTAAAAATATTATTTTGGTGTATGTCCCGTATTTATATTCATATCCACGTAGTAAAAAACGGTTATTCAATATTATAAACAGACACTCCAATTTTATTTATACGTATATATATATATATATATATAGTACTGCGTTTGTGTGGGTAGATGTGTATGTTTTTTTTAAATATTAAATTAATTTTTAATTATGTTTTCATTATTAATACTTATTTGATTTTTTTTTATTTATTAGGGTAGGTAAATTTCCTATATATTTTCCCTTTAACCATAGTTATATATATATTGAGTTATAAAGAAAATTGTAACATTGTTGCAATAAATGCGTATTAGTTATTACTAATTAATGCTAATTTACAATTCTAGACCTATTACTCATTAGATAATGAAAGATTCATAGTTCTCGTTAATAGAAAATAATGACAACGATGTCTGTTTACACATGTATCCTATTTCTGGTCTGCCAGGGTTAGGCCACTGATAAAACTATTTGCTTTTGACAAAATTGCAATAGCGTATGCTGGTGGTCACTGTATTCTCAAAATTTGAATTTAAAAATGTATCTATATTATTGTATATGTATCTATATTGTATTGTAAACATGTACAACCATATTTGAAAAGAATACGAGTTGAGTTTATTGTCAGATCTTCTCATCTCGAAATCGTTCAGAACTGACGGTAGATTTGACATATCATAACAGTCTGTAATATATAGATTACTAGCTACTCGCCCGGGTGTACATGTATTATACATATAAACCTTCCTCTTGAATCACTCTATCTATTAAAAAAAATCGCTTGAAAATCCGTTACGTAGTTTTTAAGATTTAAGCATACATACGGACGGACAGACAGCGACTTTGTTTTATATGTAATGAAGATATTTTGATTTTATTGGAATTACACACCAGCAATCGACAGACTCGCGGTTGTCTAGCGGTTTAGCACACCTCTTTACTTCTGACGGTCGCGAGTTCGATTGGCCGCACGGTGCAAACATTTGTATTCATGAGTTTACAAATGTTTGCACCGTGTCTGGTCTGGGTGTTCTTATATATATTATGTATGTATTTATAAAAAAAAATATGTAAGTTTTTATATTAGTTGTCACAAACTCTGCTTACCGTGGGACTAGATGGCGCTATCTTAATTATCCAGAGGACATTATTTATTTATTAGTACCACCTATACAAATGCTAGTGGACATGTATTCTATCGCCCCTCCTATCGATCCCCCATCCAGTTCAAATAGGGATCGAAATTACGACCGCGTAAGCCAAGTTTCGAACCCCTAGCGGTACCCTCAGACTTAAGTCCTTCCGCAGGTTAGGACTGCCATCTGCACTCGCCCCTTATCGTCCGGTGAAGCTGTAAAGGCCAGCAGTGGCCAACAGTATCAGAGTAGTAAAAACAAATATTATATCACATTTACATTGTTTTCCGCAGCAACAGTACATTATTACAGCACTGCTACCAAATAGAAGACATCAAGAGACGGGACAGCAAGGCCAGTATGGAGCGAGTTTTGCCAGAGTACAGCTGCCTACTTTTGTCGCCTGCTAATCTATGGCAACAAAGTCTGCAAACGTTCTCACTGGACGCTAACATTGTTAACACTGTTTACAATTACCAGGTTATTACAATGTTATCTACTCTCGTCTAACCTATGAACTAGTTGTAACCCGTGGCTTCAGCATGCATAGTAAAGTGTATTCTATCATTAATGAACCTAAGAACATAGATACTGAGTTTAAACTCAGCCTACCCATACAGAGTAATTTGAGGCCCATGTATTTATTACATAAATGAATGTATATATTAGTCGGATCATAGGGTAATTGTTTTCTTAATTTAGTTTTAAACTACCTACCCACCCCGACTTTGCACGGGTGTACATGATTTATACATATAAAACTTCCTCTTGAATCACTCTATCTATTAAAAACCGCTTCAAAATCCGTTGCGTAGTTATAATGATTTAAGCATACATAGGGACGGACAGACAGCGACAGCGACTTTGATTTATATGTAATGATAAGTAGAAAGTTACTTATTTTCTACTGTTGTACTGCTGTACTTGTATATTATAATACAGTATTATTTATATAGGGAATGTACTCACAACAGATATTTTTGCATCATTTAACAATAAGGATAATTCCATTGTACCTACATATAAAGTCATAAATGTTAGGGACTATGATTATTCATTTAAAACAAATTTTATATTATTAATGCACAAAGCTATGCAGCTTCATTTCAACGAATTACCAATACAATCAGTTTCCGATCGATCCCCCATCCAATTCAAACGGGGATCGAAATTACGACGGCCTGAGCCGAGGTTCGAACCTCTAGTGGTGCCATCAGACTAAAGTCGTATCCGTCAGGCAGGAGTTGGCCTTCAGCCGCTCCATAAGTCCTTACGCGGGTTTGAAATGCCATCTGCACTCGCCCCCTATAGTCTGGTGAAGCTGTAAAGGCCAGCTGCGGCCAACAGTATAGAGTAGTCCGAAAAAAAAAGCAATCAGTTTCTAAAGGTAGCCTAAAGACGCGTTGATTCAAATTATGTGCTCGTTAATTAAATAATTTTCTACTTTAATGACACTTTATTACCTCATACAGTGTTAAATGTTGATTGTTTTCATTTAGTACTTATTTATTTGACGACCCCAGTAGTCTAGCAGTTTAACACACCACCTTACTTGCAATCGTCGCGGGTTCGATTCCTCGAACTGCACAAACATTTGAATTCATAAGTATTATTGTTTATGTTGGTCTGGGTGTTTTCTATGTATAATATGTACGTATGTACGAAAAAATATATCTATGTATTTGTATCAGTTATCTAGTACCCCTAACACAAGTTTTAGCTAGCTTAACTTGGGTCTAGATGGCGCTTTGTGAATTGTCCTGAGATTGTTGTTGTATTGCACAGAACCTGCAGAAAGGCAAGGCTTCAATTGCTGAGATGGCTTTTGGCATGCAGATGCGTGACACGGGCATAAAGCGATACCCACTGCGAGCACGTCCGCGTGTACTGCAATACGCGGTCACTATCTTTTACCAAAATCCTGATCAAAAGTAAGTTTCATTCATAGAATACAGTGAAACCTGGTTAAGTTAAAGAATTTATTCAAAACATTACAAACCGTTAAAAGTAAATCTACATTAGTTTATAAAAAACTAGCTACTCGCCCGGCTTCGCACGGGTGTACAAGTATTATGTATAAACCTTCCTCTTGAATCACTCTATCTTTTAAAAAACCGCTTCAAAATCCGTTGCGTAGACAGCGACAGCGACTTTGTTTTATATTATGTACTGATAATGTGATGGGTGCAAACAACTTGCACCCATCTCCAAAGTATTGTATACAATTTAAATAAAAACAAATGAATATTACTTCTAAAAAATACTCTTTCATGTAAGTCGGACCTAGATAAGTGAGAAACCTGTTTTTTTTAATGCATGATAATGAAGTGGTGTACCCGCCTGCGTTAACGGTTTACGCTGTCGGGGCACCAGTGGAGGATGATAAGATGAGCATGTGGTCAGGTCAGATAGCCCATCGTGACAAATTCACTAGCAATTTAACAACATTGTTTCCCGGGGGAACCGCGTGGAGGTCAACTTGGCATGGTACATTGTTAGCAATGGTATTATAAGTCCACATTACTAACAATTCACTTTTCCCCGAGAAACCTTTATTAAGAGTTGCAATGCGGTCCCAGTGCTTTTTCATTGAATTACCTCTGCTAACGTGACTTTTAGAACGTAGTTAAATGAGATTGAATTTTAAGATATTTTCGATGTTTACCTTTACAACTGGGACTCTGTAGCTGAATTCCCTGTATAAGTGAGACAAATAGATCAGATTGGGATACGTTTTGACATGTTTGTTTACAAACATTTGATTGTCTTTTCCTCAATTTTTTTTTTCGACACTATTTCAGAGACCTTTAATAATTGCTACATAATTCTTGGTGCCTTGAGATCCCTATTAACCAGGTTTTACTGTATTTAGCAATCTTTTTTTAATTTATCGTCTTACATAGTTTTATTGTTCATGGATTTCTGTTAGTTCCTAGTCGTAATATCTCCTGAACAATTCATATCCTAAAACATACGAAGGGGACAAAATACTAGTCAAGAATAAACCACATTGAATTTCAGATTACTTTTAAGTGGATTTCTCGGAATAATAGTATTTTGGTCAATTACTAACTCACATTCCAACCTCATTTTGCATGTTTGTGTTATATAACAAGTACCTGAATTAAGTAATACAAAGTCAAACTTCAATGCAAATGCCCCACAATGCGCAGTCGTCCATGAAAACTGCTAACACTATACATACGTAATATATTAACTTCCTATCTTTAACACTCGATATTTTATTACTCTAAACAAACTGTTACCCACACTTCTAGATCGTTATTAGTAATTCAGTACCAAGTTCACTGCTGTAAATGACGTTAGTAATGTGTTTTAACACCTGTTCCAATCAATATTATTTTTCACGTGATAAGTGTTAGATACGCAGTACGTTTAATAATCATACGTGTCATCCTTTTATCTGTTTGATTTCTCGAATACAACTGATTATAATTACAGTGATTCATACGCGTAATTATGCGCACAAAGATAACGTTCGTAACTTGTTTCAGATTTATACAATCTCTTACAAAAAAACTGAAAGAAATGTATCCACTATATCAAGACACGTACAAGCGTATCAACGAAGTCACCCTCATATATTACCCTGGGCAGTTTAATTACCACGAGCTTGTACCTCTAATGATTACCTTTGTTGGACTGTTCCTTTATGTTTATTTTTCTGTCCGGAAAATCGAATTCATAAAGTCTAAGTTGGGCTTGGCGGCATCAGCAGTGGCGACTATAATTGCGAGTCTATTAATGTCTATGGGCATTTGCTTCTACTTTGGCTTCTCGTTGAGCCTTCAGGGCAAAGAAATTTTTCCCTATCTCGTTATCATCGTCGGCCTCGAGAACGCGCTAGTACTGACGAAAAGCGTTACGACTACCGACTCACGCCTCGATGTCAAAATCAGACTCGCACAAGGTTTAAGCAAAGAAGGATGGTCCATAACGAAGAATCTTCTCACCGAAATAACAATATTGACCGTTAGCTTTTTCACATTCGTCCCGTTCATTCAAGAGTTCTCTATATTCATGATTGTGAGCCTTATATCAGATTATTTTATTCAAATGGTCTTTTTCGCCACTATCCTGGGCATAGACGTTCAGCGAATGGAATATTTTCAAGATAAAAGAAATAGGTTGCATTTAAAAGAGTACTTCACTGCGAATAATGCTTTGAATTGGCGATTCAATAAGAACTACGTAGAAGAAAAGACTTTCTCGCCCCAAAGGATGACCAAGTCGAAATCTCACCCGAGACTGAATGGGCTGGCGCATAGTAGTCCCACAGACGTTGTAGCGAAAAGAAACGCGAGTATTAGCAGCCAGGACAATAGAGTTCCCAAACGGATACGTCTCGTCAACATGTGGGCGAGAACGAGATTCTTTCAACGCGCGTTCATGCTGTGGATGCTTGTATGGATTTCTATGATTGTATACAATTCGGGGGTAGTCGAATACTTTATCATGAGTCCAGAGAAAACAGAAGGAAGCCGAGAATTAAATAAGAAGAATTATCAGAAGAAAGAAGCCAAACAATCTATGTTCATGTTTTTTAATGATACCGATAAAAACACTTTGAAATTTTCACCCTTGCTGGATTTAGCCAATACTGAGAAGACAGTTGATGCAAACGATACGATCATGTTGAAGCACTCGTCGCTTTCACGGCCCTGGTCCAGGTAACGTATTATCATTTTTTATATATAGCATATCTAAAATTCATCCAACATGTATTAATTTAGCGAGAATGTAATAGTATTCTATCATAGTACTAGCTTATACATCAGAAGAACATATAGGCTATAGGTTTCACCCGCGTGAAATTTATAGCCTATATGTTCTTCTGATGTATAAGCTATATGACTGTAAAGTTTCTTCAAAATCCGTTCAGTAGTTTTTGCTTGAAAGAGTAACAAACATCCATCTATACTCACAAACTTTCGCGATTATAATGTAAAGTTCCATTTCGCCCACTGTAGAATACGAAATTTCTGTAGCTATAGAGGTAATAATATAATCTATTTATTAGTAAATATACAGTACAATTTAATACATTTATCTTTTGATATATAGGTAAAACGGTGCCACGAAAGTATTGCAAGAAAAATAGAAAATGTCTCTTAGTTTTTCTATTTTTCCAGTAATGAATCGTAATTTAAAGGTACATTACGATTCATTACTAAATGACGAATTCTATAATATTACGGTTATATTAAAGTAAAAGGTTCACTTTTACTGTATTTTTTAATATACATAATTAAACGTTTCCTTTTTCTCGTTTAAAAATGTTTCTGTACTGTTACAATGTTTTGTAACGCTTACAAAGTCTCAACATTTCCTTCGTACATATTTATTTTACACAAGTGATTACAATATTACATCATAAGTACAGTCAACTTCATAAATATGAAGTGAATGAACAATATATCATAAACAAAGTATGAATTTTATCTTATCACTTGTTAATTATCATTTAATTGATATATATTGTAAAATCCTAGCGAGTCACTTTTTCAAATCTAACAGACAGTTTAGTTTGTATTTGTAAAATCACGACAAACGATATCATATTTGCCAGTGTTTATCAATATGTCACTTTGATCATCCTTGACGGTTACTTAGTTGCATTTCCGTATGATCGGCAATTGTGTGAGGGGAAATGATTAGTTGGGATCAAGAAGACGGCTGGGGTTGTCCTCTAAATATAGCCCTCTACAGACAATTCCGGTGACCCGCGCATCCGCTCTCGTTGCTCGACATCACTCCTGCTATCCTCATCGTATTATCAGTGAATCAGTGACTACTAATATATAATGTTTATCAATAATAGAAAAATATTCTAATAATAACCAAAACCGTAAGTGATAAATATTTCGATACATGAATAGGTTGTGAGTAATTTTTTTTTTATAGTTGTAAAAATGGAGTTCTGAAAGAAAAATCTCAGAAAGCATCGCTCTGGGGCGCCTAAAGTAGCTGTGGGAACCTACAGATAGTTCGTAGTATATTTGCAACTTTTTGCCATTTGATTATCTAGACCCAATTTGAACTGTTATTTATTGCCTCTTATTGTCTTATTATTATTAATATTATAAACGTGAAAGTTTGTGAATATGTGGATGTTTGTTACCCTTTCACGCAAAAACTACTGAACCGGTATTGATGAAACTTAACATTAATGTAGCTTTTACATCAGAATAACATGGGCTATAAATTTCACGCGGGTCAAATCGCAGGCACAGCTAGTATATAAATAAAGTATTATTATTATTATGACTTGTTTAGTTAGATGTCTCGAATAGAGATATACATACATATCTTTCATTCAACACTACTCCAGTTCCGGAGACGGTTGAAGTTCCACTGCATACAGACAAATTATTATCTTATATATAAAATTCTCGTGTCACAATGTTAGTTACCACACTCCTCCGAAACGGCTTGACCAATTTTTATGAAATTTTATATGCATATTCAGTAGGTCTGAGAATCGGCTACTATCTATTTTTCATACCCGTAAGTAATAAGGGTGGTCTACTCCTAACGTTAGTTTTAACACAATTTTTTATAATGTGGCATTAAAAAATACATACAACCCTAACTTTCACCCTTCTATCACAACCCCTATTGTTTAATAGCGATTATTAAAAATTAGGGGTTAATTCATAAGGCAATACAACGTTTGCGAGGTCCGCTAGTATACATATATATATTTATTGTTATAAATAAATTTCTGTTAACAAAAGTATTAGTATTACGTAGTTATATATATGTATATACATACTTTCTATTTAGTGTACTTTTTATTACATACCCGTACCTGCCGTATATTGATACGTGTATACAGTTTAGCTTTTCGGCATAGTGTTAGATTATAATCCAGATTTCTACGAAACTACACAGTCATCAAAATTTTTGTACTGATTGTAATTTGTCTTGTGTGCTAATAAATAACCTTGTACAATTGACACAGCGTCATCTAGTCCCACGATAAACAAAACTCGTGTAATGGGTACTAGACAACTGATATTAATACATATATTTTTTTGTAAATACATAATATACACCCAGGCCGATGCAAACAATCGTACTCATGAATGCAAATGTTTGCACCGTGCGCTTATAGAACCCGTGACAATCGGAAGTAAAGCGGTATGCATAATCGCTGGACTACCGAGGCCGTCTGATCTAAAATGTTCTAAGAACTGGAGTGGTACACTTAGATTGTGGAAACTGCTGAGGTTTTCTTACGAAACTACAGCATGGGGTTTTTCAAGAAGGGTATATTATGGTTTCTTATGGGTCGACAACGCGCACGAAACATCCCTGGTGTCTCAGGCGTACAGAGGCTACGGTAACCATTTACTATCAGATAGACCGTTTGCTAACATCTGATATATAAAATTGGCTTGACCGATTTTGATGAAATTTTATATGTATATTCAGTACGTCAAAGAATAGGTTTATAACTAATTTGTATACCCCTAAGTTTTAGGGTGGCTCACACGAATTTTCTTTAATAATTTTTTTGGTAAATTTTTTTAATTATTATTTTTTATTATGACATTAAAATAACATACAACTCTAAATGTTCACCCTTCTATCACCAACCTCTATTTTTTTTAACTAATAAGATAATGCCATATTTTATTTTATATATGGCAAAACAACGTTTGTCGGGACAGCTAGTCGTATTATAAAAAAATGTACATATTGGGATTGAATGTTTCTGCTCCAGGTTGTCCCCGTACCACTGGTCGACGATACTGTCGCAGTACAACGAGTCTGTAGCGGGACGATACGCGGTGGTACTGCCACCGGTGTTGGTGAGCCACCGTGTGGGCCCCGAACTGGCGGCGTCCCTGCGGGGCCCCGATGAAAGGGACCCCCCACCGCTCAGGTGGCAGGCCCTCGCAGCCGCACTAGACCCTATCGACATACTGCCCGGTAGGTAACTACTACCATACTTTACTTCATTTTATATCATATTTACACCTACATATATACACAATGTAAATAGACTAGTATTAAAAATAAATTTATTATACTATACTTCATTTATTGTTAGACATACATACACCCACATAAATACACAATGTAAATAAACTGAATTTACATACATACATACTTATGTAATGGTGTTAAAAAAAAGAAGAATGCCTGGTAAATAACAACAACTTACTATACTTTATTTAATGTTAGACATACATAACTACATAAGTACAGAACGTAAATAAACTAGCATTAAAATAAAAGAATGCTCGGTAAAGAACAACTAGTATACTACACTTAATTTAATTTAATATTAGATATACACCCACCTAAGTACACAATTTAAATAAACTGGCATTAAAAAAAAGAATGCCCGGTAAATAACAACTACTATACTATACTTAATTTAATATTAGATATATACCCACATAAGTACACAATGTAAATAAACTAGCATTAAAAAAGAATGCCCGGTAAATAACAATTACTATACTATGTTTTATTTCACGTTAGACATACACAACTACATAAGTACACAACGTAAATAATCTGGCATTAAAAAAAAGAGTGTCCGGTAAATAACAACTATTATACTATACTTCATTTAATATTAGATATATACCCACATAAGAACACAATGTAAATAAACTGGCATTAAAAAAAATTATGCCCGGTAAATAACAACTACTATACTATATTTTAATTAAGGTTAGACATACACAAACTACATAAGTACACAACGTAAATAAACTGTTATTAAAATAAAAGAATGTCCGGTAAATAACGACTACTATACTATACTTTATTTAATGTTAGACATACACTACTACATAAATACACGACGTAAATAAACTGGCATAAAAAAGGAAATTCATTTGTGTTACTTCCTAGTTCTAAATTAAATCTGTATACTGAACTGAACATTTTAGCCGCTTATGAACGTTAAATTTTTATACAATACTTTTTCCCTACCGAAAATGTACTACATAAATATTTTTTTTTATTTGATAATAGATATAAAGATGTAGATTACAGATAAATATATATATTAATATATACACAGTGCCTTACTGACTTGTAAGTTATTAATAAACCGAAAAAAAATCATATCAGATCAGATATCATATCAGACCAACACACACACTAGTGTTACCTACAAATTATGAAAACTAAACTTATTAAGTAATATAAAAGTGGATTCATATAGAATACTAGCTGTGCCCGTGGTTTTACCTGCGTAAGCTTATGTGGTATTCTGATGTATAAGTTATATTACTGTGAAGTCTCATCAAAATCCTTTCAGTAGTTTTTGCATGAAAGAGTAACAAAGATACATCCATCCATATATCCACAAATACACACATATATACTACGTTGTTGCCTAAATTTGTCAAATTCTAGTCTAACTTCTAAACTATCTGTTTACCCAAGAGCCGAGTATGGGGCAGATTACTGTAACACAAATTCTCCTAGCGCAGGTTGCCTTCCATTCTCTTATATTATTATATTTATTGATAATATGATGATGCTGTTTATGGTGAATAGTAATGGAATAGAATGAAATATTTTTTTTATTATTATTTAATATACGTTTTATATATCTCCCTTTTTACAGGGGTAATACATTCAAACAGGCAAGCCTTAGCCAAGCGTGGATGAGTTATATGAGGATGATAAAAGTGAAGACGTAAAATTTTTATTATTATTATTATACATACTGTTGTAGTTTATTCATGTAGTAATAAGAAAAAAGACTAGGTAAACGGAGAAAAATATATATTAATATAGACTACTGACATAACAGAATATAATGAAAGTGTAGTAACAAACAAGAATCTACAAAAGGAACTATAAATTTTAAATACAAATTTAGAAAATAAAACATTTCTTCATTAGCCAGTTACAACATATACTCAAAAACTCTTGCATTTATAATAGGTATTATTAAGAAGACTGTAAAATAACTGCGTGACTGTGTTTGTTTGTGGAGGGTTTTTGAAAATGTCTAGTTAGGAATATCATTCTATTTTCCTGTAACGTATGTAAACCATACAGTATATAATCATGTATCTATCTAGACTACCAAATTTATTAGGTTGTTCGGAAAGTAAATTCGTTTTTTCCTAACTTAGGATTTCATTGTATTTTTTGCACTCAACTTCACACTTAAGCCATATAATTTTTATATGCTTTGAGAGCTCATATAGCAAGGCTTGTGTGTGAAAAATTAATTCGACGCAGTAGTTTTTGGTTGGTGCCCTTTTAAATATGAAGAGCCATAAGCAGCATTTTCGACATATCTTACTGTTTTACTACAGAAAGGTCAAAAATGCTGTTCAAGCCAGAAAGAAATTGACCGATGTGTGTGGAGAAGGTGTGTGAACAGTACGCCAGTGCCAGAACTTTCGCTAAATTTTGATCCGGCAATTTGATAAATTTAACCTCAATCCCATCTCAGAATTAATTGTAATTTTTCACACACAAGCCTTGCTATATGAGCTCTCAAAGCATATAAAAATTATACGGCTTAAGTGTGAAGTTGAGTGCAAAAAATACAATTAAATCCTAAGTTAGGAAAAAACGAAATTACTTTCCAAACAACCTAATAATTTCATTTAATTAAAAAGATTGTTTCTTAAAATTTTTGTTCTGAAACTTTAGAGAAAATATTTTCTCCGTTTTTCGCAATAAATCAATACTTATTTAGTATATAAATAAAAACTGGATTTGAACTGTTTAAATAAAACTCTTACATTTGATATTCCATTAGAGTTGGAATGTTTATTTTGAGTTCTTAATGGTTTAGAGTTTAATAATAATAATAATAATAATAATATCAGGACAATTCACACAGCGCCATCTAGACCCAAGTTAAGCTACATAAAACTTGTGTTATGAGTACTATATAACTGATACAAATACATACATATTGTCTATGACATAACTTTTTAATTGTCTATTTTTAATATAATTGTCATAGATTTCATTGTAGTGAAACGATGACACTTCACGTACCTATATAACATATATACCTAATCTAAAATAATTCATTTTATTATTTATATATATATATATTATTACACACAAAGTTGTGTCACAAACACTCGTAAATAAATACATATATTATACATAAATAATATCCGGAGCATTACAAACAATCATACTCATGAATACAAATGTTTGTGCCATGCGTAAACCACCGAGGTCGTCAAAGTAACTGCTTAGTTGTATTTTTTTACTTCTATTACACCAAAGGTATCAATATGAAACTTCACTATAAGGGTCTACTGACTGTGACTCTAGTGTTCACGAGTCCATAATATTAGATATCTACAAGTTGTCCCGGCAAACGTTGTTTTGCCATATAAATTAATAACGCTATAAAAAAATAGGGTCTTGTGATAGAAGGGTGAATATTTAGAGTTGTATGTATTTTTTAATGACACATAATATAAAGAAATGTAAATAAAAAATTTGCCCACAAAATTAAAAAATAATGGTAGGGGTGGACAACCCTTATCACTTAGGGGTATGAAAAATAGATAGTAGCCGATTCTCAGACCTACTGAATATGCATATAAAATTTCATAAAAATCAGTCAAGCCGTTTCAGAGGAGTATGCTAACTAACGTTGTGACACGAGAATTTTATATATAAGATTAAACAAGGTACCAAAGATGTGAATGACAGGTCTTTTACATACGCGATTTGTAAATCAACTAATTCAACAACGACAAAGCTTATTGTATACTTGCTGTGACCGCGACTTCGTCCGCGTGGAGTTTAACTTTGTTTACTGAAATAAAATAATTTTTCTGAAACAAAAGTAGCCTAAGTTAGTCCTTGTTACATCAGCTACCTGTCAAAAAAATTCCCGTCAAAATTAGTCCAGACATTTCAGAGATTAGCCGGAACAGACAGACAAAAATTGAAAAATATGTTATTTTGGTGTATATATACGGTATTTGTATTCATATGTATGTAGTAAAAAAACAGTTATTTCAATATTACAAACAGACACTCCCAATTTTTTTTATATGTATAGATGACGTATTATCGTTTTACGTATGCATATTTTTACCATATTGTTTTCACGAAAATATATTTGACCTTGTTATGGCAAGCTAGATTTTTATCTATTCACAATAAAGTCACTTTTTATTCGTATTTTTTACTGTTAAGCCATTCCGTAACTGTCACAATAAGATCCTGTTAATAATGTATACATGATACACAAACTATACTATTGTATGAAAATAGTTTTCATTCGTGTTACTTGTTTTGTATCAGTTATCTAAAATACGATTGGAGAACAAACGAAGATGGTGCAACGGCGTCTTCAACTCACCAACTGTACTATAAACAAATCTCTTTTATATTTTTTTATAAACTATTTATTATCTTCAGGCAGACTTTGAACGTGTTCTAATACCGATTGAATCGTTTGAATAATTAATTGAATAGTGCTGTTGGTAGTTTGTATTCATACGATTCGACTTGAAAAATGTGAATTTACAATGATTATTTAAAAGAACAACACGCAGGTTTCTTTCTCGTTCTTCTTGTGATGAGACAGCTTTCAGAATGAGCGGTACATTAAAAAAATTGTTATGACTATTAAAAAGTGATTAAATTAATTTCATTTGAATAAACTATTTTCTATCCTATTCTGATAGTAATTGTCCTCGAATATTTCACGTAATATAAGTTTATTCGAATATTGACACCATATCTATAATATATTACATTAAATAAATGAATACACCATTTATATATATCTCCAGCACACATATAGCAATCAAAAGGATTTAATAAACAATATTCACCATCATCATCTGTTTCTTCCTTATCCCATTTATTTTGGGTCGGTGTAATATGTTTTTCTCTTCCATTCATCCCTGTTCGCAGTCATCTCGTTATTTACTTCCTATCTGACCATATCATCTTTCACACAGTCCATCCATCTCTTTTTAGCATTTCTCTACCTTTACACATTAGCATCTATATTCATATGTAACACCATCCTTAAAATATTCAATAAACGATAAAAAATTATATGTATTTGCAATATATAATATATATATATATATATTAAATGTTTACTCAGTATTATGCGTCTAGATTTATGTATGTATATATATTATTATTATTATATATATATTTATATGTATGAAGGTATCCGCAGAATACAATAATTGGTATAATCCAATATATAATTTAAAATTTAAAATTTATTTTTGTTATTGTTGTGTACCAAATAAAATGATTCTCTTTCTTTCTTTCTAAAAATGAAATCAAACTTTGAATCTACTGTATTTAAATTCATTTTGACGTGTATTCAATTTCAGTTGGACCGCGTAATTGCCTGATGTCGTGCAGTGTAAATGCTGAGCGGTGGTCATGGATTTCTTTCTTGTTTTCAGACTTTGAACTGATCGAAGGCAAGACTCAGCAGCTTCAGTGGGGGAAGGGCGCCGAGCTTCCTATTTACCCCACGACGCCTATGGAAATATTGTTGTTGGCTATTTTATGTGCCATAAGTGTAGCAGTCATTGCCTACATGATGGTGGTCCTTTACAGGTATAAAATATCTTATTTTGCGATTGTTATTATACATATGTATACACACAATCATAATGTACATTATTTAGCTTAATCTATGTTCGGCCCAGTAGTTTTTGCGTGAGAGAGTAACAAACATTCATACTTACAAACTTTGGTACAAAACGTTTATAATATTATTAAGATGGTATTCAACAAACTAAATGGTATATATATACCATATAGGTTACAGAGATATCTGTAATGTAAAAAGATACCAATACAATATACATATATATATATATTGCATTGGTTTCTGTATTTTGGCCATTATATTTTTATGTTTAGTTTTAATTAAAGATATTTTTGATGGTTGACTGGAAGAGATCTCTTTTAGAGATAAGTCCTCCTTTCTTAACATTATTTCTAATTAATATACTGTGAAATGTATTTAAGTACAATAAATAATATATAATAAGATTAGGATATAAACATCATCTACTTAATTCTAATCTACACTGCCTGCTGCTGTAACTAATTTAACTGTATATTTCAACGTTTGCCAAACTACTAATATTAATAATACTTACTTTTCATAATGAACTTGCGACCAATCCCGGCTGAGCGTAACACTCTTGTATTATACATATAAACCTTTCTTTTGAATCACTCTGCCTATTGCTGGAAACTGCATTGAAATCCGTTGCGTCATTTAAAAGATATAAGCGACTAGACCGCTGCGGCGACTAAATTCTATGTGAAGATAAATATAATAGATATAGTATACTAGATGAGACCGCAGTTTCACCCACGTTCCATTTCAATAAAAAAATATAGCCTATATGTCATTCTGATGCATAAGCTATTTTACTGTGAAGTTGAAAGAAAATCGGTTCAGTAGTGTTTGCGTGAAAAAGTAACAAACATCCATACTTACAAACTTTCAAGTCTATAATATCATTAAGATTAGTACTTAAACATCATCTACAGAATTCTAATCTACACTGCCTGCTGCTGTTATTTTAACTATTTAACTCTATATTTCAACGTTTGCAGAATTACTAATATTAATAATACCTACTTTTCATAATGAACTGGCGACCCGTCTCGGCTGAGCGTGAATGCATTACAAATATATAAATTTCTCGGCTTGTTATATGACATAACACGCATGCATTATACATATAAACTTTCTTCTTGAATCGCTCTATCTCCTGCTGCAAGCTTAAAGTCAGCCATGTAATTTATAAATTATAAGCGAACAGAAAGCTGCGGCGACTAAAGTTTATGTCAAGATATTATAGATATTGAATTTCCCGCGATTTCACCCTCGTTAAATTTCAATAAAAAAAACTGCCTGTGTTATTCTTTTATAATAGTACGTTTAGTAGTTTTTGCTTGAAAGAGTAATAAACATATATACTTACAAACATTCGCATTTATAATAATTATTAGGGTCTAAAAATAATCTACAGAACTCTAATCTACACTGGCTGCTGCGATACCTAAATTAACTCCATGTTTCAACGTTTGCCAAATTACTGATAGTAGGTAATATTAGGTCTTTAGATACGAAATTGGCGTTTTGTCGTACTGGCCACTTTGATCTCAAATATCTCTCTTTTGAAATGAAATAAAATGAAATTTTATTGCATAATTCTTTGGTTAGAAGTTCCAATTTCGAATTTATACAACTATTTACTCATGCATTTGTTTTTCGGAAAACGTAATCCATATGATTTTTCCATTTTTGGTTTTTTCTATGCGTCACTCAAGTTTACTAAATGAATTAAAATATCGCGTTATTCACGAGTACGAGTACGAGTTCCGCCGTGGCACCAGTGCTGTAACGGCAACTGTTTGTAGGATTAATGATGTGTATGACGGTGGTGTCGCAAAAGAAAACACAGTGCGTTTTTGGTTCCAACGTTTTCGTTTTGAAAATTTCGACCTGCAAAACAAGCCCCGTGGGCGGCCGGAGTCCAAGATTGATAATGAAGAATGTAAGGCTATTATGGAAGCAGATCCATTGCAAACTATGTCTGAGTTAGCTGCAGGCTGCGGTGTTAGTGACAAAACGTAGTATTTTAATCCACAGCTTGAAAGGTTCATGAGGGACCCTCATGAAGTGAGTGGAGCAAATCGACAAACGCACGTAGACTGCTGCGTTGCATTACTCAACCGGCATAATAATGAAGGGATTTTAAATCGAATCATTACCTGTCATGAAATGTGGATCTTGTACGATAATCGGAAACGCTCATCGCAATGACTAAACCCTGGCGAACCAGCCAAATCCTGCACAGCGAAAATTTACTTAAAAATAGTTACTTGTGAGCGTTTGGTGGACTAGTGCCGGTGTTGTTCACTTCAGCTTCCTTAAATCTAGCCAGATGATTACGCCAGATGTGCATTATCAGCAATTGCAAACCATGATGGGAAAACTAGCTGTTAAACAACCGAGACTGGTCAATCGCCGTAGACCACTGCTGCTTCAGGACAACGCTAGATCACACACTGCACAACAGACAGTTACCAAATTAGAAGAGCTTCAATTGGAATGTCTAAGACATCCACTGTACTCTACTAAGCTTGCTCCAACAGATTACCATTGTTTGTATTTGCCGGTTCTTTTATATATTATACATTATTATGTATGAAATCAAAGACTGTTGTCTGTTGACTTATGTGAATATATTTCAATTGTTTTTTATAATGTTTTTAAATATTTATGTACAAAAAAGGTTTTAAACATACTCCACCTTAGAAGATGTGAATATTAACTAACTAATTGATGGATAAAATGAATGATATACAGGAAATAAAAAATTTAACATTTTTTTTTCATTTTTTAAAAACAAAAAAAATTAACAGTGCTGCAGTGGTATGTGAATAAGCTTGTTTATCGGTCTTTGAAAGTTTCCCTTTACTGTTTTTACTAACGCAGATCTGACAAGTTCGTCGTCTTTATTGGGATATGTTTCAATGACTCTACCCACTAACCAAACACATGGAGGAGTGTCTTCACCTTTAATTATGACAAGATCACCCGTCTGTATATTCCTTCTGAGATGCATCCATTTAGGACGACTTTGTAACTCTGATAAATATTGTAATTTCCATTGATGCCAAAATTGTTGTTTTAACACACAAATTCTTTGAAATAATGATAGTCGATTTGATTGAATATGCATCATGGTAGGTTCAGGCAGATCCATCAAAGAGTTGCCTATCAAAAAATGAGCTGGAGTAAGACAAGTTAAATCATTTGGTAAATCTGACATAGCACACAACGGCCTAGAATTTAAAATTCCCTCTATTTGTATTATTATTGTATTCAATTATGGAAATTCAATTAGAAATAGAGTGTCTACAAGATTTAGAATCAGATATAATAGAGAGAGAAAGTTTTGAGAATAAATATTATGAAACTACAGCTATATACGAGAAATACAGAAACATTAAAATAAACGATAATTCTAATATTAATAGCATTCCTATACAGAAATCAATACATGTCCCTATACCCCAACTAAATATACCTATATATAGTGGAGAGATCAGGGACTGGAATAACTTTAAAAATTTATTTTTATCTGTAATTAATAACAACAACAATTTAACTAAAATTGAAAAATTTTATTACTTGAAGTCTTTTCTAAGGGGTGAAGCCGCAGGATTGATTTCCTCATTACCAATTATAGAGGATAATTATGACATCGCATGGATGACACTTGAAAAACGCTACGAAAACAAAATGTTGATTGTCAATCACCACTTGAAAATATTGAATTACAATACCATTACAAGAGACAATATCAAACATTTTCTTAGTAATCTACAACAATCTTTAGATGCATTAAATACGATGCAAGTTGATACAACGGAAGTAATATTGATTTATTTAATTACACATAAATTGGACAATTCCTTAAGAATGGCATGGGAATTGAGCAGGCAAACTACTGAACTGCCAAAATTGGTGGATTTAATAGATTTCTTAAACTACAGATCAGTTGCTTTCGAAAACGTTAAGGATAAGAATACGAATACTAATACATTTAATACAATGCCGCATACTCATATGAAGAGGACGTCTCAAGTATCGACTTCTCAAGCTTCTGAAACTTGCCCACTATGTCATGAAAAACATTATTTACAAGGATGCGGAAAGTATTTAGCAATGACGCCGCGACAACGTAGTGACTATGTACAGGCTAATAAGCTTTGTTATAATTGTTTATATCCTTTTCAGATACCTCATAAATGTAGCAAGGTTACTTGTAAGTTCTGCCGAAAGCGTCACCATTATACTTTACATATGAATATGCATCCTAGGGCAGGTACATCCATTCAAAGCGAGATTAGTCCTGTTATTCAGTCCACAAATGAACATACAATGTCGGGTAATATAGAGACATCAGTCCCACATGCAGCTGCTCTTGTCGCCAGGCCTACTCAATATCCAGGTACGGTTTTATTAAGCACCGCAATAGTTAGGTTGCGTACTCAAGGGGGCGACTGGATAAACGCTCGCGTATTACTAGATTCAGGTAGCGAAGTAAATTTTATAGCTAAAAACTTAACGGACAAATTAAATTCAAAATTGATCCCACACAGTTGCCAAATACAAGGCATTGGTAATTCTCCTAAGATTACACAATATTATACTACATTAAAAATATATTCAACATTCTCTAATACTACTTATATACTTAATTGCAACGTTACTGATAAAATTACTGTTCCACTTCCTCATATGGATATTAATATTGCTAGGTGGAATATACCTTCGGAGTTTATATTAGCTGATCCACAGTTTTTTATAAGTAAAGATATTGATATGCTCATTGGAGCCGAGTTATTCTTTCATATTATAAATGGAGAAACTATATCTTTAGGCTCTAGGCGTCCATCTATGATTAAATCGACATTAGGATGGCTTATATCTGGTCCGGTAGAGCTTAGGGGTAATAATAATAATAAGGTTGTTTCTCTTTGCTCTTACAATGATATTTGTTGCAAGGACTTATTGACTA